TTGACTAACAAGATTGTAGTGTTACGACTATTACTCTGACTTCGGCCTCTACCTACACCGCAACTATCGCTCCTGTTACCCCTGCCACCCCTACAGGAACTGCAACTTACCCAGAGCCTACAGCTCCTATTTCTGGTAGTGGTGGCAGTTCATCCGGTTCTAAGCTCCCTGGTGTCGCATATGCCCCCTACCGAGGCGATCACCGGTGCAAATCCAAGGACGAGATTCAGCACGATATTACGCAGCTCGCAGCTGATTTTTCAGTTCTTCGTATCTATGGCACCGACTGTGACCAGGTCGCCAATGTCTACTCATGCGCCAAGGGTAGCGGCATGAAGCTGTTCCTCGGTATCTGGAACATTGACGACGTTCAAACTGAGGCCAAGACCATCATCAGTGCAATTGACGATTGGGACGTCGTTGACACCATCAGTGTTGGCAATGAACTCGTCAATAACGGAGCTGCCACCCCATCAAAGGTCATCGCTGCGGTCAAGCAGGCTCGTGAGATCCTTCGTGCCGCAGGCTACCAAGGTCCTGTTGTCACAGTTGACACATTTATGGCTGCCAATGCCAACCCTGAGCTTTGTAACGAGAGTGACTATTGTGCTATCAACGCTCACGCCTTCTTCGATGCTAACACTTCTGCTGATGAAGCTGGCCAGTGGCTCTCCAACACTGTTGAGGACCTTCGATCCAAGATTTCTGGCGACAAGCGTATCGTCATTTGCGAAACTGGCTGGCCCACAAAGGGCAACAGCAACGGCAAGGCTGTTCCTGGTATGAGCCAACAGAAGGCTGCTCTTGACTCTATCAAGCAGGCATTCTCCAGCCACATGGGAGACCTGATCCTCTTCTCTGCCTTCAACGATCCTTGGAAGAAGGCCGAGGCCGCAACTTTCATGGCCGAGCAATGGTGGGGTATCGAAGGCCAGGACTCAGTTTCCAACAAGGACCCGTCGTCTTCTAACTAGGGAACGGCTCCCCGATTTGTCATGTCAGTTCGACCTTCAAATATTTGAATGGCTTGCGGTCACGTTTTTACTCCGAGATCACGCTCTGCTTATGTATTTTCTATGATGTTTAATGTTTTATTGTTATTGTTGAAGGGCTGTTGATGCCGATTATCAGGTGGCCATTGCAAGGCTGTACGAGCCTATCATCTTGGGAGGTATGTTGGGGGGTTGTCTGTTTTTCTATTCAAGCTTCAACTACCGCACCACGTCACCTCACTTTATGGCTGCTCTCTTAGAGATGAGAGAAGAATTACACTTGGTATTTGTTATTTGAATTGAAATGTCCGTCATACAATTTGAACTTCGATCTCAGTCAATGGGTGAAAGGACAAGTAAATGAGTTGTTTGATCGAAACATAGGTCTATACCGTTCACGACGATTCGAAATTCATATTGAGTCGAGCTCAAGAAACAACGTTGATGAATTGCCTATGTAACTATAGGGAGCGATGTCCTGCAGCCACTGTGCCTCACATTTGATGATTTCGTTACTCATGAAGACTACCCAATGCGCCACATGCTAGCCCGATAATTTCCTCATAATGCATAAAGAATAACAAAATATGGATCTTCGTACCATCTCAGTTATTGGCCAAAGAGACTCTACCCTCGACAAGCAGATTCGAAATTCACAGTCGCAGCAATGCAGCTCGAGATTTCAACCAGCTTGTCCAAGGCTAGCTAATGCGTGTAGGCACTTAAGAAGTGGTTTGCTCACTGTGGATGACGAGCACATCGTTGAATAGAACGTAACAACAAGGCTAGGGACGCAATGCGGAGACGGGGGTGTAGGATGTAGACCAGGGATATAGGGATAAAGACCTAACGCATTAGACAAGGAGGCGAACACGCACATGACTTTGCTCCTCTGTAGCAAGGTAAAAAGAAAAAGGAAATGAGGCACTAAATCTCACATCGTTTAGATGTCATACCGAGCTCAAGATCAGTTGCTTCAAATGATGGATATGTCTCAAAAGATCCGTCCTCGGATCAAGATCGTCAAACACGCACCCATCGAGCGGCCCTGCATATCTCAGCAGCAGGCGCGACGGGATGAGTTTAGCAGATCCAGAATTCGTCAAGGAACTGGTCGAGTTCGATGATGCGGAATCGGGAGCCGATGCTCTGATCCTTCAAAAGAGTAGTCCAAGCAGAAGAAAGGCTAGCTTTCCAGGAAACAACCTCAACGCTCCAGCCCATTTTCAGAGCGCGTTGGGCTTGTGTCAGGAAGCCGTCTGAATACTTAGCCGGCCGAGCATCACCAGTAGCAATGACAAGCGTGCCTGGCTCCTCGAAATACTGCATGACAGACTCGCTAATTCTAATTTGGAGGGTTTCGTCGACCATGTCTTCGACATAACGGAAACCGCCGGCTTCGAACGTGTTGTGGTTATCAGCACCAGACTGTTCAGGGCGACGATTGCGAAGGTCGACGCGGTAGCCAAGATCCTTGAGTTCTTGGACAAAAGTAGGCTCGTTACGGTTGGGACGCACAGAGCAGCCAACGTTGAGCCATTCCGCGTATCGATCGCGGGTAAGAAGTTCGTGAAAGAAGACGAGGTTCATTTGTGGAAGCGGAACAAAGCGTGAGGACTCTGGCAAACCAAACCTGGCTCTCAGGGCCTTTTGAAACCCAATGATGATGTTGGACATGTCGACAAAGACATGAATTCCATTGTCTGCAATGGTGGGATAATCCTTGCAGATCATAGAGTCTATAACCCGCTCATGAACGAGCTTTCCCATGAGGCCCTCATGCTTGACCACAGTGGTCTGCACCTTACCGTGAATCTCAGTAAGGGGGCCATACTTGAAATGCTGATATGAGATAACATGTCTGACATGGTCCGACTGGTTGCCACCTAGGACCATTACGTTGGGTTCAGAGCTATCTCTGGTATGCGATTTGCCCTTGCCTGAATTTGAACCTTTCCTGTTCTTTTTGGTTTCGTCAAAATGCTTAAGCGGAGACTCGCTTGAGCTTGGTGGTGTTGAAGCAGCGGTTGAGTAAGACGTGGTAGGCAGCACATCAGTGTCAGAACCACATCCAGCCTCTGAGTCGGTAATAGGGTCGAAGTTGTGCTGGCTGAGTTTGAGGAATTCACCCTTATATTCCTCGTACATATCTTCCTTTAGAACAGTCTCCTTCGTAATTCTGATAGCCTTTCCAGTTCGCTTCTCATGGATTTCGCTTGCCATCTTCATGTAATGAATACGGCCTTCAGTGCTCCGGTTCGGTTGCCTTGAGGCGGCAATGCATGTTTGCTCCTGATCCTTATGATGGGAATGCTTAGCCACAGCCAAGGGTTTGGGGGCACTGTCTGCATTGTTGGTGGGTTGCGGTACAGAAGGTCGCTTCAATATCGTGATCGGCTGTACCTTTGGGGAAGCCAATGGCTTTCGCTGCTGCTGAGATGGTTCATTGTCATTGAGACGAATTTGCTGGAAAAGCCGTTTGAAATTTCCAAGGGACGGGGTTGAGTCAGAAGCCGAAGCCTTTGCATTCTTCGGGGAGGCCCAGTCCGCGAGACTGTTGGAGTCCAGCTTGGTGAAGTCACCAAGCTTGAGTCTACCGTCGTGTGCAACATTATTTGCAGCCTTACTGCTACCCGGCGGCTCGCGAAGAGGATCGTCTGTTGAGTTTGTCGTTGTCGATGCCATTATAACCATCAAAAGCGACTGCGCACATAGATGCGAGTTGGTGGTTGTATATATCAAGTGGGTGAGCTGCTTGACACCAATGCCAGACGTGAGAGTGTTGACTTATGGCGCCAGTAAAATGAAAATATCCAAAGCTGCAACTGCAATTTGCTAGGACTGTAGAAGAAGGCAAAGTCGAGAAGATATTGGGAGAGCGATTTGCCACAACTGAGAATCTAGAATCGCCGCAGAAGCAAGACCCAGAATGAGCTGAAACAAAAACGGATGTCGCGTAGTTTAGCAGAAGAGAAGACTCGAAATAGCCAAGCACAATCTGGGATGATCCAAAGGGCAAATCCAATGCGTCAGATTTTGCCGATTGATGAAGCCTAGTGAGATCAAGTGCGGAGATTGAGCTACCAGAATATCATGAGGTCACAGAAAGGGAAAAGGGTGAACTCAGTCAAGGCCGTGTTAAGTAGGACTGAAAATCAAAAGACAGGGAACAAAGAATACAGTAGAGAACAGTTGCGCAAAGACTCGAGTCAAGAACAAGGATCGAAATATAGGGGAAAGGGAAATACGAACGTTGAACGGTTGACGAAGAAGAATGGATGAGATGAATGATGAGTCAATTCACCTTGAACTGAGGCTACACACGGTACTTACTTAGCTTTGGGTGGCTTTCCGGGATCCGGGATGGCATGGACCCAGCCAATCAGATCACGACATATGTGATAAGGGTCCTATGTCTCACGTGTCTACTCCGTATTGCCACCCAAAACGTCGATCCAAGTGGCTGAATAGGTATGTTAGTACGTACTCGATATACTCGGTACGACAACAGCACGACAAAGATCAAGTCTTTGGAGCGAAACCAGAGACGTTGTGTTTACTATCATCACTTACTTCACAGCGTTTAGCGACTTGCCCTGGAGCAAAGATTTTGTCAAATTGCTACCTCTGCTTCTCACATTGTGTCCATCCTAAGTTCATATGTGCCAGATGCATCCATCCTTCTGAATAACCATGCCCTACATAAAGTGAGAATGGAAATTTTTGAATCCTGCTTATGCTCAACATTTCGAAAACATATGCATGAACAAGATGTTTGCGAATACTGCATGATTCGCAAGTTTAAATAATCCAAAGCTGCCCCTGTCCCATTGGACTAACTTCTTGTCCCTTTGATATAGCCTGTTTTGGTTTTCGTTTTTCTTTTCTTTTCTTTTCTTTCTTTCGGACTCATGAGCAGACAGTACTTTGAAAGAAAATTACAACCATACTTGGCATCTTTCCTGACAAGACTCGCGTAATGATATCCATAGCCAAGCTCCATTGCCATCACCTTCGGAAATCGATACTAGCTCGAGATGAGTCCAGACTTGGTCGCACTGAGCTGCTTGAGCTTCGTCTTCGCCTCGCTCGCTGTTCGTTGGGGTCCGAAGGGTGCAGACCAGTTGATTTCGCAAACATATTGAGTACATCAGTCAACGAGATAACACCGGTAAGCCTCCCTGAAAGACGAGCTCCGGCCATGGCCGATGCCGGCACAGCAGCTGTAGGGACTGGAGAAGCAGGTACTGCTGCAGTCGGGACAGGCGACGGGGGCGCAGCAGGAGGTGGAGGGCCGGCGGTCGTGAAAGATTGGGGCCCCATTAAAGGTGTTGCAGGAGCTGAAGGGGAGGGTGATGCCGATTCAACCACCCACATTCGATGCGATCGAGTAGCAACGAGTTTGGCAACGGTATGGGCCAGAGTAGAGTAGGGGTTCACGTAGAATACGGGAAAGACGTCGCGTCCGTGTTCAACCCCTCGCTCGTTGAGAATCACAGAAATAAAATTCATGCATGACGAATTGAGTAAATGGGCGTTGGAACTCTTGGTTAAGTGACGGACGTCCTTGGTCGAGATATTGCCCACCACATTCATGCCGTTGTCAACAACAGCAACGCTTGTAAGACCTTCGTTGTTCATAAGCGTAAGTGCTTCAGATAAGGGTGAATCGGAGCTATGGCGTGTTAATACGCACCATCTTCAGACTGTTTAGAAACTCACTTGACAGAAACAATCTCCTTGGCCCCAACGCCCAGATCACGTAGCAAAGCAGGGTAAAGTCGATCAATAGAAGGAAAGTTGACACCTTCGTTCCAGAAAAACTCGACAATTCTAAGTTGGCTTGCGATGCCAACCACCTCGCCGCTAGTAGTTGTCACCAACAGACGATGGATGCCACTGCCGAGAATTTGGATAGCCTGTGCGAGCTTTTCGTCACCAGGCAATGTGATGAGTGTTTCCTTGCGGAAAAGAGGGAAGACGTCTCGTAGGGGAATCTGGCCACCTTCCTGAGCCTTGGCCAGAATCGAATTGAATAGCTCAACCTGATCTTCTTCAGGTTTGGCGAGACCAACGACAACAAGCAGGTATGCGTTCAGATCGGTATAATCGAATGTGGAGACCGCGATATGGGTGGAGGGATCCTCGCGGACCAGAACAACGTTGGTAGGGCTCTTAAGGAGGAGCTGCGAGTTAGAGTTAGCATGGTTATTTGGTACTTGAAGGCGCATATTGGGTCGGTCCTGTATTGGGTGACAGTCAAAGTTTTAGGCTCACCTTTGTAGCTTCTTCAACGCTGCTATTGAAGTCAACCCATTTAACATCATCGGGAGATACAAGCTCTCCGATAGCTACATCACGCCAATCGCGGCCGGCAAATCTGGGGTTGGCATGCTTGTTACCTGCAGGAGGATGGTTCAAAAGCTCCTGGAGAGCGGCCTGTGTGAAAGAAGGGTGCCGTTGAGAGCGTGGGGACGAGGGCGCATTGCGCAAGCCCTCGGCGAAGCTTGCGCGGTGTGCGGATATGGAGCTTGGGCCAGAACCAGCGGATATAGATACAGAAGGGGATCGCTGAGAAAGAGTAGGTGGTTTATGAGTGGATGAAGAGCCCGAAGCAGCACTGTTGAGGCTGGTCGAGCTGGTCGCGCGAGTATCCTTGAGCTCGCGGGAGGTTGAGCTCGGTGAGGGGTCCATGGTGAAGTCGCTTCACTTTGACAGGGTGATGAATTGACTGACTGATGTTGAGATTTGATAGATCGGACTGGCAATAAGCGATAGATCAACACGACTTGGGCGAACAAAAGAGCGCTGTATGTAATGCAATCGAGAGACAGATGAAGAGATAACGGGGAATAGTGATTTGTCGCGACAATTGCAATGACGAGATGATAGTTTGCACAGAGATGGGCCAAGGCGAGACGAGACGAGATGGACGTGGGAGTGGACGCGGGGCGCAGGCAGGATAAGAGAGCGAGTGAGTGGTTCGAGTTGAATGGATCTCGGTATTCAAGTCCAATATTGGAAAGTGGTTAGAGTCAGAGTCAGAGTCAGAGTCACAAACTAAGAATCAGGATACAAAAGATCAGAAGACATTTATTTGCCAAGGACAAGGTGACCGATAGATGAGGTGGAATGGTTTTTTTCTGCCTCTTGCTGCGGAGGTTGGTCTGGAGATGAGACTTGAATGCGAGGGGCACGAGGTTACAATCCAAAGCCATGAGTGGGCGGGGGAACGTTTTGCATGATGACATAGGTAGGTCGCCTAACCAGAGGAAAGTAAAGTAAAGTAAAGCAAACCAAAGGTGGGCTAGCCGGGCGATGGTGGAGTGCCCCGCGATGGATGGATGGATTGAGGTTGGATGGGATGGGAGCTCAGTCTTCAGCGTAAAACTTAACGTTACTGATAGAGAAGTAACTCGACCCTGAGAGGGTGGAAATACCACTAAATACTACATCAACTAGGTAGGTAGATGTAATACTACTAAGGTACTCCGTACCTACCTTATACTTGGGCTCCTGGGCATTTGATCTCTCATGCAGCTGTGACTACTATTTATTTAGGAATTGATTTGCACTAATATCATATAATCCATTCCAGCACCTAACCACTCCTCACAATGATCCGGCAGAGCCTTCCCAGAAGCTTCTACTATACCACCAACGATGATCAAAAATGTGGATGTCTTCAAGGGACTCCCCGGTCCTGCAGTTCGCGGTACGTAACCAAGCCAAGCTCTGATGCGCACGCAAACGCAACATGAACAAAAAGGGCAATAGGAAACTTGACAGGGGGTTTGCAAATGCCTTGTTGGTAAATATCATCATATTGAATCTCAAAATATTCGTCATCCAAGATCTTTGTATGGCTTCGACTTGTGTATAGGATCAAGCCGATGAGTTTAGTTATGGAAGTCAGCGATACATAAGTGCTGCTACTACTTGGAAAGCTTGAGTCAATGACCTTGTAAGAATTTCAGCTGTTGCAGTCGGCATTTCAAAATTCCAGATGATGAGTGTCTTGAATCCCAAAGTCTCATTCAAAAGATCGACATTGAATGGAAGTTTTTCAAGAACAAACTTCAGTATTCAACATCGTATCCTGTAGCTTATCAAATACCCAAACTCAAAACTAATCAGGTCAGAGAAGACGTTTCGTGTCAAGTTGATAGGCTACCTTAATTGAGCTGCAGCCGCAATGCATCATAACAAGAAAGAAGATTTCATTGTGCATATCTGATGGAAGCCATCCATTCTGGCGGTGTGGTGGGGCACAGCGTGGACAGCCGCAAAGGTAGAACAAACAACGTATGGAAATCAAATGAACCCAATGAAAACAAGCGACATTGGGATTCAAGAGCTGCATCACCAATTGCTGTGTGGCTCATTTTAAACTTCTTTGTCTACGGTGCTGAATGATCAAGGAGGCGTTCTTCCAGTCCATCTGGCATCAAATATTCTTTCATGACTTCAGAGCCTCGATAAATTAATCTAGGTTCATATCATGCGCCAGCCATAGTCACAACAGCTGAATATTGACTTTACAAGTCCAGACCAGTTCCCGTCAGAAGCCTTGGAGGACATTTCTCAACATCAACTTATATAAACTCTGTCCTAGTTGTTATGTCTTGATTGTAGCCTGGCAGAAAAGGTAAAAAATAAACAATCAAGGCCTTATTACCTACCTTACAGAAAAATCACACTAGCCACGACCTGGTCACCGCGCACCCTTTGTTTTTTTTTTCTTGGGCTCAAGTCTGTCCCCAAGTACCTCGCCAGCAAAGCCTCGCCCGCATGGTACTTATTCACGACCCTCAACTTTGGGCTTCCCCTCCCCCACTTCACTTTCTGCTCCCATTCAGTCCCTCTCTTCTTTCTTTCACACCATTTGGGATCCTTGGAAATCTCGTCCCTTAAAGTGAAGCCGCGGCCGACTCAAGCCAACGAACCTCGACGGCTCGTAGCTTTTTCACACTTCTTCTTCAAGTAGTACTTCATTATCGCTACTCTTGTCCACATCCTCCGACTGAGACCCAAACTTCTTTGTCGTCTGCTGGTGGACATCACCATCAGCAACCCTCCACGACCACAACAATGTCTCTGCTCCCACCCGACATCCACGCAGAGCTTTCACAGCTCCTGCAAGCTCTGCAGTCCCCCGACAACGGTATAAGATCACAAGCCGAGGAGCACCTGCAGAACAACTGGACTGCCACCCGACCTGAGGTCCTGTTAATGGGACTGGCGGAACAGATTCAAGCTGCTGGCGACAATGCGACACGATCTTTTTCCGCTGTAATCTTCCGCCGAATTGCTTCAAAAACCCGCAAGAATGAGGCCGGAGAGACCACGGATCTGTTCATCTCTTTGACTAAGGACCAAGCCGCCGTCATTCGACAAAAGATTCTCGAGATCCTTGCCGCCGAGTCTGAACGCCTCGTTCGCAACAAAATTAGTGATGCTGTTGCCGAGCTTGCCAGGCAATACACCGAGAATGGTAAGCTTTTCAAAGCCCTGGAGTGACCCTCCGTATCCCAGAACTTGGTTAACAACTCCTGCAATAGGCGATATTTGGCCCGAACTGCTTGGCGCTCTTTTCCAACTTAGCCAAGCCCCCGAACCAGAGAAGCGAGAGAATGCGTTCCGAGTCTTCGCTACCACTCCCGCCATCATCGAGAAGCAGCATGAGGAGGCTGTTCTTCAAGCTTTCCAGAAGGGCTTCAAAGACGACGCCGTCATGGTATGGTACCCCTGCCACGGGGCAGACTTTTCTGTCCCACATTGCATGTCATGGCTCTGCTAACCACAGCTATAGGTCCGTCTTGCGGCTATGGAGGCTTTTGCTTCATTCTTCAGGACCATTAGCAAGAAGGGACAGGCTAAGTACTACGCCCTTATTCCCGATGTCCTCAACATTCTTCCTCCGATCAAGGATTCTCAGGATTCAGACGACCTCAGCAAGGCGCTCCTGGCTCTCATCGATCTCGCCGAGTCTGCTCCCAAAATGTTCAAGCCTCTCTTCCAGAACCTTGTCCAATTTAGCATCTCGGTAATTCAGGACAAGGAGCTCGAAAACATCTGCCGCCAAAACGCTCTTGAGCTCATGGCTACATTTGCCGATTACGCCCCCTCCGTGTGCCGAAAGGACCCATCCTACACAAACGACATGATCACCCAGTGCTTGAGTCTCATGACGGATCTAGGCGAGGATGACGATGATGCTTCCGAATGGATGGCATCTGATGACGTGAGTTTTTAGAATGGAGACAAATAATTCATGTAACTAACTCACCCTGCAGTTTGATCAGGACGAGAGTGACCAGAACCACGTTGCTGGCGAGCAAACCATGGACCGACTTGCGAACAAGCTTGGGGGACAGACCATTCTGGCCCCTACTTTCAACTGGCTTCCTCGTATGATGACTTCCATGGCCTGGAGGGATCGACATGCTGCTCTGATGGCCATCTCTGCCATCTCCGAGGGCTGCCGTGATCTGATGATTGGAGAGCTTAGCCAAGTGCTAGATCTAGTGGTTCCCGCTCTCCGAGATCCTCATCCTCGAGTTCGATGGGCTGGCTGCAATGCTCTTGGTCAGATGAGCACTGACTTTGCCCCTAAGATGCAGACCGACTACTACGACCGAGTTCTCAAGGCAATCATTCCTGTCCTCGACTCGCCCGAAGGCCGTGTCAAGTCCCACGCAGCAGCAGCTCTTGTTAACTTCTGTGAGGAGGCCGAGAAGGCCACTCTGGAGCCATATCTGGACGAGCTACTTTCGCATCTTTTCCAGCTTCTTCAAAATGAAAAACGCTATGTCCAAGAGCAAGCTCTCTCTACAATCGCCACCATCGCCGACGCCGCTGAAGCTGCCTTCTCGAAATACTACGATACCCTTATGCCTCTTCTTGTTAATGTTCTCCAGAACCAGAGCGAGAAGGAGTACCGACTTCTGCGTGCCAAGGCTATGGAGTGCGCCACATTGATCGCCCTGGCCGTTGGAAAAGAGCGTCTTGGCCAGGATGCTATGACTCTTGTCAACCTTCTGGCCAACATCCAGGCAAACATTACTGATGCAGACGATCCTCAAGCTCAATACCTCATGCACTGCTGGGGCCGCATGTGTCGTGTTCTCGGTTCCGACTTCCTTCCATTTCTTCACAACGTCATGCCTCCTCTGCTGGAGCTTGCTGTTGCCAAGGCTGATATCCAACTGCTGGACGATGATGACCAGGTTGAGCAGATGCAGAATGAGGAGGGATGGGAACTTGTTCCCCTCAAGGGTAAGATGATTGGTATCAAGACAAGTACCATGGATGACAAGCACATGGCCATTGAACTCCTGGTCGTCTACGCCCAAGTCCTTGAGGCTTCTTTTGCTCCCTATGTAGCGGAGATCATGGAGAAGATCGCTTTGCCTGGCCTTGCATTCTTCTTCCATGATCCTGTTCGATATATCTCTGCCAAGCTTGTTCCTCAGCTGTTGAGCTCTTACAAGAAAGCCTACGGCCCTCAGTCCAACGAGCTCCGTGGTCTGTGGAGTGCGACTGTCGACAAGCTCCTCGAGGTCTTGACTGCTGAGCCTGCCATCGACACACTTGCTGAGATGTACCAATGCTTCTATGAATCCGTTGAGGTAATTGGAAAGGACTGTCTTTCTGCAGACCACCTCAGCCGATTCATCGACTCGGTACATTCTGCTATTGAGGACTACAAGGACCGTGTCGCCCAACGTCTTGAAGATAAGGAGGGAGCCACTGCCGAGGACGTGGAAGATGAGGCTGAGGATACTCTGATGGCTATCGAGGATGATCAGACCCTGCTTTCTGACATGAACAAGGCTTTCCATGCTATTTTCAAGAACCACGGTGCTGCGTTCTTGCCTGCCTGGGAGCGATTGATGCCCACATATGAGGGCTTCCTTACCTCAAACGATCCCACCCAACGCCAGTGGGGACTCTGCATCATGGATGATGTCCTTGAGTACTGCGGCACTGAGAGCACACGATATGCCAACTACATCACCCAACCGCTCATCGATGGTTGCCGTGATGCTTCGCCGGCTATTCGCCAGGCGGCAGCTTACGGCATCGGAGTTGCGGCGCACCGAGGTGGAGCACCATGGGCGCAGTTCTTGGGAGGCTCAGTCCCCTTCTTGTTCCAGGTCACTCAGGTTCCTGACGCTCGTAATGAGGACAATGTCTACGCGACTGAGAATGCATGTGCAGCTATCGCCAAGATTCTCCACTATAATGCAAGCACAGTGGGAGACTTGCAAACCGTGATTACGCAATGGGTAGAGACTCTACCCGTGACCAACGATGAAGAAGCGGCACCGTATGCTTATGCATATCTTGCGGAGCTGATTGACCAGTAAGTACTCTCCCCCCTCAACGTACCACCAGTATGTTGGTGTGCTCATGCTAACGCTTTGAACTTGTAGACGACACCCAGCCGTGGCGAACCAATCGGGCAAAGTCTTCGTGTTTATCGCCCAGGCTCTCGAGGCAGAGACCCTCGTGGGACAGACTGCCAACCGGGTGGCATTAGCAACTAAGGGGTTCCTGACATCGACCGGCGTTGACCCTACGCCTCTTCTGCAGCAATTTTCTCCTGAGGCACAGCGAACCATCATGGGATTCTTCAACTAGGAGGAAGCTCGCAGATGGGCTGAGTCTTGCCACCCTTTCGGAAGTCAAATGACGGTAGACTGGTTCATATCACCCAGCCGAGTATCGCCGGGTATCGAGATGGCCCTATAGGCCATCTCTGGAGAGATGTAGCGGCGTCTTTAGATGATGAACGCTATAAGATGTCAGCCATGGGCCTGGAACCCGTTTAGGGGGCAGGTAGCTCCAAGGAGCGAATCCACAAAGCAATGGTGGCATCGATGTGATGTGGAAATGCGCTTCATTCGAGCGACATGGATCGGGTTCGAATCAGCGTTCAAGAAATGCCATGTCCCGAACATGGAAGAAGAGAAACAGAGGACAACGGTCCTAGGCGTCGGGGTAAAAATGAGAGGGCATTTTGTTTAGGCAGTCTAAATCCTCAAGACCGCATGGCGCCTTTTTTACAAAATCATTAGAGTTCACGAGTTAGGTTATTGATAACTGGTTAGTACCTCGTCGCGAGGGTTTTGGTCGGCAGCGGCAAGACAGTCAAACAGTCAGTCGGTTGGTTGGTTGGTCTGTCTGTCATATATATAGATGACGAGTTTTGTAGCGTACGGAATTATGAATCAAATAACCACGCCGGTTTCCTTCCCATGACTGAATGATAGATGGGCTAGGGGAGATATGGAATGGATGTCTTTACTCGCATGCAGGATCGTGGAGGCCCTTCCTTGATATCGGGGATACTCTGATATTTGCCTCTGGCTTGCCAAGTGAGTATTGATTGATTCAGCCACGATTCGCAATAGTACGACAAGGAGGGGGAATTGAGTCAATGTACTGCCCAACTTCGGTACGTAGGTACCTATGCAGAGTGATGAAGGTTACTTAACTCTGTCGCCATCACCAGAGCGCAAATGCCATTTCACAAAGACAGACTGGTGAGCATTGGCACTCGAAACAAAGTTAATAATGATGGCGACAGGGTTGACGGGTACCTTTAGGTGAAAGCAGAGCTACAGGGAGGGGGCGTGTTGAATATTGAACACTGTATAAGTACTAAGCTATACCCTCCATTTGAATGAATGAATGATGAATGCTTGCTCGCACTTTGGTCTTACAATTTTTCTGGCCTGCAAGGAACCGCGGGTGTGCTAGCGAATTCGAGACATTCTCATGTAGGGTACTTATCACATATTTAGGGACTTGCTTACACCACTTTTTCTTTTGGTGAGAAAGATGCATTTTTGGTATTGGATTTCAGATCTGGATAGTGATTTTAATTGACTGTGTGTTTCAATGCAAAAACTGGACATTTCCCAAAATGGTGATGATCTTTGGACTTGACAGGCACAGGGCATGTACAAAGAAAGGATAAATTGTTGTGCAGCCCGGACGGGCGAAGCACAGGGTCTTCTCGTCCCAGCCCAAAAGGCCCCAAGGTTGTCTGTCCTCCAGTAAACCCGATGGACAAGGTAAGGTAGCCGTCTTTCATTGTTGGGGAAATGCTTTGAAGTTATAGTGAGATCAAGTTATAACCTTCTATTGATACGGTTTTCTATCGGCTTATGTTAAATATCCAACGTTATTGTAATGCTATGATTTCCTCAGAAATCACCCATCTGATATCAAATCATTCCCGGCTCTTACTCGAGCCTAGCCTCTGCTGGGCAATGCGCAAGCCTCTTGCACCGGAGTTACTCCTGGCGCCGAGCAAGTTCAAGTTCCTCTTCCTCACCCCACATGCATGAGTCCTGTACTCTGTACGGTACAGTACTCTAAGTGCAGTATAAGAACAGCGCTGTGCGCTACCCTCGGCAGGCTAAGGCAAAGTCTTGAGATGGATACTTCTGTACTTACCTTATCTTGGAAGTATCTACCTTGGGTAAGGTAAGTATCTAAAGGATATCTCACCTTGAGTTGTGCAGCAGGTTCCGACTTTGCTTCTTATAGGTAGGCAGCACCCGCAAATGGGGATCTTGAGAGGGTTCGACTGAGACGCAGAAAGCGGCAGTCAACAGCCCCTCTCTCATGGAAGCTCGTAGTCCTCAATCTCCGGCTTCCATTAGCACCAGTAGCCCATAACGTTAGTAAGATAGTCCGTTGTCCTTCGGCCTGTCTTGCTTCCCACCTCACACTAGCCACACCATGATCCATTGGATCCACCCAATCCAATCCAATCCCACCTTTGACTGCCTGCTCTTTGCCTGGCCTAGCTCCCAGGTAGGTAGGCGTGGCATGGCAAGACAAGACAAGACAAGACAACCTAGACAAGGTGGGTAGGTAGGTAGGTACAGTAGGTAGGTACTTTCCCCCACCCACACACACCCAAAGCAGCCCAGCCCCAGCCCAGGGCATCTGCTTCTCACGCATTCCCATTCTTCTGCCATACCGTCCTCTACTTCTGCATCCCTCTCGTTTTCCCCTTCAAACGATATAGCGGATCCTCCTCCCTCGACGTTGACGCGATACAGCCTCAAACGTAGAATCTGCTTTTCTCACGCCTCTCCTCCGATCGCAAATTTCCCACATCTCCGACCTTTCCATCGCCGCGATTTTTGAGCCACAGTCCAACCCCGAACAGTACAAATTCGACCAAGCACGAAATACCCACCCCCGCGCATTTGCCATCTGCGATTACTCTGTCCCTCTCTTTTTTGCTCGGTCGCTTGATCTCTCCGGCCTGATTTATCACGTTAAAACATCGACCCGACCCGACTCGACTCGACTTGACATAACCCATCTTGACCCGCCACGGTTCTCCCATATCGCGACTTCTCTCACCTCGTCATACTGTTGCGTTTGTCACCAGTCTTCGCCTTTTCTTTCCGCTGCAGCTAGGGTCTTCTCAGGCCGCCAACCTTTCCGACGCCTTGGTAGTCGAACTAGGACACCAACCGTCAGACTTCGCGCTATACATACGGGACAACACCCGCTCAACACTTCCCTCAAGCGCCTGGCTAGGCCGTCCAGCCAGATGCTGTCGCTATGGATGGCTACTACTCTCCCCATCAGCAGCAGCAGCAGCAGCAGCAACCATCTCAACAGTTCCAACAACCTCGAATGCAGCAGAACCAGCAGATCCACATGCAGCACAATATGAATGATCCAAACTTCTATCAGGGAGGAGATTCCCTCGATGATATTGTGCGCGATAACCAAGACAAGCTATACCGCCGACAGAGCATGCCCCAAGCCTTTACTAACGCTATGGGTCAGTTCCAGATGAATCAGCAGCAGCAGCAAGGGCAAAGGCGGATGTCTTCAGTCGACAACGGTGACGTGATGACCTTTGGAACCGATAACGCCGACCTCAACTCGTACCAATTTAACCAACCACCCATGGGAGGGGGGTTTCCCAACATTAATACCTCCATCGGCATGGACCAAATGGGCAATTATATGGCATCTGACCCTAATGACTATTCGACCATATCCCCTGATATGATGAGTTCTATGATGCCCTCTACCTTTGCAAGCATGAGCGTTGGAGCACAGATGGCCGGCAACGCCTCACCGATGAACCTTTACTCACCGTCCATGAGCCAGTTCCCACAAGGCCAACTGACCCCTCAAGTTCAGGTTGGTAACGACTTCTCCATGGATCTTTCTCCGGATGCCGGCTCCATGAATATGAACCAAAGCAACCCTCCCACGACGACCCCGACCCCGGCTCCCACCAACAGCGCTATGGATACCATAGAGGATTCGGGCGACAGTATGATGAACCATCCGGCTTTCAATAACATGAATGCTGGAGATAACAACCAAAACTTACCTGCACTTTCTCGCCAAGTCTCAACTGCCTCCGGCTCTGTTGTTTCACCTCCACAGCAACACTCACACGGAGCCATGTCCTCCTCAACCGTTACTCATCCGACCAGCACTTCAGTGGCAACGACCCCATCAACCGGCGATGCCCCGAGGGACTCAAAGGAAAAGACGATATACTCAAAGAGTGGATTTGATATGCTTAAAGCTTTGTGGTTAGTCGCTACCCGTAAGAACCCGCGCATACAACTTGGCGCTGTGGACATGTCCTGCGCCTTTGTCGTCTGCGATGTCTCCATGAACGATTGCCCTATTATATACGTTTCCGACAACTTCCAAAACCTCACCGGTTATAGTCGTCATGAGATTGTCGGCCAGAATTGCCGCTTTCTGCAGGCCCCAGATGGCAAAGTCGAAGCGGGCTCCAAGCGAGAGTTCGTTGATGATGGAGCCGTCTACAATTTGAAGAAGATGGTTCACGAAGGCAGGGAGGTTCAACAGAGTCTTATCAACTATCGAAAGGGTGGAAAACCTTTCCTCAACCTTCTTACTATGATCCCCATCCCGTGGGACACTGATGAAATCAGATACTTTATTGGCTTCCAGATCGACCTCGTTGAATGCCCGGACGCGATCGCATCGAATCAAGACCTCGGTGGTGTAAAGGTGAACTACAAACACAGCGACATTGGCCAATACATCTGGACACCACCGCAATCCAGTCACTGGGAGCCCGATAACGGCCAGACGTTAGGCGTTGACGATGTCTCCACCCTGTTACAGCAGTTCAGCCCCAAGGGTCTCACCTCTGATTGGCATAAGCAATCATGGGATAAGATGCTCCTCGAGAATACCGACGATGTGGTTCATGTTCTCTCGCTCAAAGGTCTCTTTCTATATCTCTCTCCGTCTTGCAAGAAGGTCCTAGAATATGAGGCTGCGGATTTGGTTGGCAACTCACTTTCAACAGTATGTCATCCATCTGATATTGTTCCTGTTACACGCGAGCTGAAGGACACAACAACCGGAAACCCTGTCAACATTGTGTTCCGAATTCGCAGAAAGCACAGTGGTTACACTTGGTTCGAAAGCCACGGTTCACTGTTTGTCGAACAAGGAAAGGGTCGAAAGTGCATCATTTTGGTAGGCCGCAAGCGACCGGTGTTTGCTCTAAGTCGCCGCAATCTTGAAGCGAATGGTGGTATTGGTGACAGCGAACTCTGGACGAAACTCTCGACATCGGGCCTGTTCTTATATGTCTCTTCGAATATCCGATCTCTCCTCGACCTCCAGCCTGATAGCCTAGTGGGAACCAGTATACAGGATCTTATGCGAAAAGAATCACGTCCCGAGTTTGGGCGAACGCTGGAAAAAGCCAGGCGAGGAAAAATTGTCACATGCAAACACGAGGTCCAGAACCGAAGGGGCCAAGTGTTGCAAGCCCAGACGACTCTATACCCGGGTGACGCCTCTGAGGGCCAAAAGCCATCGTTCTTGCTTGCCCAGACAAAGCTTCTCAAGGCATCATCACGTAACCTGGCTCCCGCTAGCACCGGTTCCAGGTCTCTCGCCGCAACCCCGAGATCCAGTAACGGCACCGAAAACCACGCCACGGGTCATATTTCACAGCCTGCCGGTGGTGCGTTAGCCCCCGGTAGCCAAGACGCTGCTTTAGCCTCAGAGGACAACATTTTTGATGAATTGAGAACAACGAAATGCTCTAGCTGGCAATTTGAGTTGCGGCAGATGGAAAAGGTTAACCGTATTCTTGCTGAGGAACTTGGCGGCCTGCTGTCCAGCAAGAAAAAACGAAAGCGAAGAAAGGGCGTTGGCAATGTGGTGCGAGACTGCGCCAACTGCCACACAAGAAACACGCCCGAATGGCGAAGAGGACCTAGTGGTCAAAGGGATCTTTGTAACAGCTGTGGTCTTCGGTGGGCCAAACAAGTACACCTCTTCTATCTTCTATCAATTGTGATATTTATTAACAATTTCATCAGACTGGTCGAGTTTCTCCACGCAATTCTTCACGCGGGGCTAACACAGCAAATGGTGATGCTCGAAGCAAAAAGTCCAACTCTCCGTCGTCACCACTGCATAAAGAATTGTCCGCAGACAACTCCAAAGCGCAAACACCCAACGGTGAGAACGGCATAAACCCAGCCCAACTCACGAAGCAAAAGATAGAAAATGGAACATCAGCACCCAGCGGTGCCCCTTCAGCGACAGGGGTCAAATCATCGGCCGGAATGCCACCGCTAAGCCATTCATCCATGTTGGGCGTCGGCCAGGCCTCGTCGATGGCTTCAATCCGAGAAGAGCGCGAGACGAGTCAGCCTTGAACAACAAGCATAATGCATTTCCTTCTCTTGATGTTTTCGATCCTCGATGCTACGACTTGGTAAAGGATTTACGGAGCGTGGTGCCTGGATTAAGCGGCATTTTTGATACCCGCCACTTTTCTTTCTTCATGCTGGCCTCTATTTCAGACCCGGGGCTCATGGAATTAACAAAACATTTATGACACCCGTGGCCTGGGGCTCACATGATGGCACTTGGCATAACGAGATTGTCTGCTTTTATTTATTTGGGAGAGAAATAACTTCTCCGTGGTGTACAAGGCTCCGGGATTTTGGAATTGGGAATAGACACGATATACCTACAACAACATACACGAGGCGTTAAGGAATGGGATGGCATGAATACGACTTGGACAGATCTTCCTGGCCTTGGCCCCTGATACAGATTTTGCACTTATTGACGACGTCCATGGGCCGGGTGGCCCGGCTTTGGTCTTCATGCTTCTACTCAACATAGAGGGCGGGCTGGGTTTATTCGAATGCTAGTACGGTTCCATGTTTAGCACGGCAGGGTACGCATTGTCAGGAGCATGTAAGGGGCATGTGGCTTTGTACATTGGTGCTAGTTGTATTTAGGGAGGACTTTTGCGTACATATACGTACTACAGCAATAGCGAGGCGAAGCATGGTCTAAAGTAAGGAACAGATATGACAATTTGGATATGCATCTTTGATGTGATGACACGTCGATGTGCAGCTCAGCCACATTGCTCAAGTAAGGGGGAGGCTAGTGAGAAGGGTTACCCATGGTAATAATCCGACTCCCAAGCCCCTATTTAGTGGTGAAGGCTAATGGGCATCAATCTAGAAAAATCTAGAATACATGAGTCCTAGCATTACTAGAACCTCAAACCCATAGAGCCCCTTTGATTTTTGCATGTAGTTAGCACTATCAAAAAGATTTACACCTACCTACCTACCCTAGAAAGCCAACAACACCATTAATTTCACGAAGTACCTGGACTGGCAAACTTGTACCCTTTGGAATGAGCGAGAGGCAACACGTCATCAGCGGCATGTGATGTGCAATCTGCTGACTTAAGGGTACAACCACCACAAAAGACAGATGATGGGCTGACGTAGGTGGCTTCGCTGCCGATAAGACTTGTACTTGAATTGTGGCTGCTTCGACAAGATAAAGACACTGCTTGCAATATGAGATTTTGGTCTTGAGATGCAGCAGTCATCAAAAAGTTTTTTTTATAATTTCTTTTTAGCGCCAAAGACTGTAACTGGCGATACTTCTATTTGCTACTACAGAGCCTTTTGAGTCAAGACTTGAGGCGGCATAAGAGGTTTGGTGCCTGAAGATGTGGAATAACTGAATGACTCTTGAAGATTATGCTTAGATCAGATCTATCGATGTATGTGCAATTCTAAATTTACCCAAGTCAAATTGGGCATAAGCTAAGATTTCCTCAAAGCTCGTCCTTTGTATGCACTTCCTCCTCCATCGTCCTGCTCTTCGGGTTCTTCTCACTCATATCTCCAACAACCTTGCGTCGACGATTCAGCGCCGCAATCTCCTCATCGTAGACAGACCATTCTGGGACTTGCCTCCTGGCGCGATCGAGTTTGGGCTCCTTTGTCTGCGGATTGTTACACAAGTCAATGGTACGCGCCTGGGCCAGACTCTCGTCGCTGCACCACGTCTCACACCAGAGCCACTCTTGAGGAAGACTGTGGATTGGAATTGTGAATTGCATGTTGTTTGGCAGGTCCTGGTCCAGGTTGGACAAGCTGTTAGGGTCAGCCGAGAGTGCGTGGTACTGCTGTCGAAGGCGGTCTCCTGCTGCCAGCTGGCGGAACCGGTTAAGGTCAACAACGTAGAGGGCTGAGATATGGTACGGCAGCCCGCGAAGATAGTTCGCCCAGTAGCCCTGTTTCCAGAATCTGAAGCCTTCCATCTCAGTGCGCGAGTCGCACATGGGCGTGAAACCGTACGGAGCACCTTCTAGGTCATGGTTCACAAGGTCAATCATATCAGTGCGGACGATTTGATCAGCATCGACAAAGATTACCTTGTCCAGGGAAAGCGGAAACAATACATCAAGGAACAGGATCTTGTACCCCCAAATCTCACGCTGCTTCTCTTTTTGTTGGCGAAGCCAATGAGGCCACCTGTAAGTAACCATCTCGTACTTGAAACCATACTCAGCAGCCATATAAGGAATGAATTCCTTGAACGAGGGAGACAAGAACTGCTCAATAAACCAGAACTTGACGGTGTGCTTGGTGTTACGCATAACCGATACCATCATGATGTTGAGCATGCGCTCGTACAAGTGACCACTGGCAACACTGAATATGTTAATTTCAGCATGTTCTTCGGCCGAAATCTCTTTAGGAGACTTGGCCCCTCCGAGAAGACTTTCGGCAAACTTGAGGCCCTTGGCAACAATTCCGCTGGCTTCGCTGTCTGGAGATTCCAGTACATCGACTTCTTCCATTCCTGGCTTGCGGTTGAGACGAGGATACAGGGTCGTACCCTTGAAGTCCATGAGGGCGATTTCCGTGCCTTCGTCTCCGGGAACAGGAGCATATCCGTGAGCACCGACACTCTCGATGGTGAAGATTTTCGACGTTCGGCCTTGCTTGAGTTGAATATTGTAAAAACCAGGGTTTGCCTTAAATTGGAAGTAGCCCAGATTGGCCATGACTATGGTATCTGTGATAAGGGGATCCTTTTCCGTGGCTATGGTCAATTGTGCACCTCTTGGTGCACCTCGCTTGCCATCTCTGGAGTGACCTTCAATCAAAATATTCTCCAGTTCATAAATCACATCGATGTCGGCTTTGACAGAGCTCAGCTTGATGTTGTCCAGATCCTGTACAGACTCTTTAGCAGCCACTAGCCAAGCAGGAGGTACATCCATGCCTGCTGTTAATAGAGCTTCAGAGGGAAGGCCTTTGAAAGTCGCCTTAGGGTTCTGAACATGGCCAGCCTGATCAAAAGAAGGCTTTGAGTCAAGTACGTAACGGAAGAATCGCGTGATGGGGAGTTCTCCGACTACTTCCTTCGGGTTCATAAAAAGCTTCAGATACACTCCATCGAGCTCAGACAAGACCTTGAGGATGGGTGCCCATCTCTGACCTTGTTCACTGGTAGGATTCAGGAGACCAGCGATATGAACACTTGCAGTTTCGGGGTTGCCGACTTCAATAGCGCTATGAGTAGAGTTCCAAGTGTTGTACATGGAGCTTCGAATGGACGGGGCCGACTCAAAGATGCCTTGAGGGAGATCAGAAATAGTAGAGAGTGCCGTGATTGAGGTGAGCTTGGCGGCTGCAATGGGATCCAAAAGCTTATCTTCGAAGCCAAGGTCTTTAATCGCAGCATAAACAGGAAGTATCCTATTTCGCTGCTCAAATTCCAATAGCTGCTGCAAATCGTCCTCCTTGAAAGAGACATGGGACGGCAGGGGACCGACGACTCGGCCGTTGAGGAGTAATCCCTTTGTACCAGGGAGAATTTTCGAAGCAGAGAGGAAGTCGGCAAGCGCAGTGCCAAGGCCATCATCTTCAGCTGTCCAAGACGCCTCAAGAATGGCTTTCAGATCATCCTTACTCTTCATCTCAGCAAGCTTGCCTTCGTTAAGCTTGAAGGCGCCATTGATGGCATGAGCCTCTGCGGATGACGGCGGGTTGTGAACAAGGTCAAGCCGAACGCCAGGATTCTTTCGTTTGAATTTAAGGGCAGCAAGAAGAAGGTCTTGTCCGTCACCGGTTCCAAGGTCGGCGACGACTGTGAGCACAGCCCAGCTTTCTTTGGAAGCCTTCGAGTCTGAGGGAAGGACGGCAATGTTGCTGAATAGTCCCGCAAAGTCCTTATGAAGCTTGTTGACATCAACAACGCGAAGGGCTTTCTCATCGTCAGGAAAGATGTACGTGTTGCGCTTGGAAAGAGCGTCACGGAGGAAGAGATCCGAAACAGGCGTCCCCTCTTCAATTTGTCCAAAGTACACAGCCTTCTGGATTGCCTGTTGATCCTCGGTTAATCGCTGGCCCATGACCTGAACCCACGACTTCTCACGTGAAATAGCCAAACCATTCACAAAGACAGGACGCACGGCAGTGTCAGCATTGAGTCGGCTAGCCCAAGCCTTGCTTGCTTCCACCTTCTGCTTATAAGTATCGGCTTCGAGAATCTCGGCCAATGTCATTTTGGTGGCTCCTGGTAGTGTTTCTCGTCCATCAATAGCCCTGGTGAAAGCCTTCTTGTTGGCCGCACCCTCTGGCCCCTCTTCACTCTCTTGGAGATAAGTAATGAGGGACTCGAATCCATATGTTTCCATTAAATGATAAACGACCTTGGCCTGAGCAGCAGAAGCAGGCGTAGTGGCCAAGGGAAGTATGCCGAACCTCAAGGTGACACCGCGTTGCATGAACTGGGCTAGTTGACCAAATGCTCGTCCATCCTCAATATTGGTGAAGTCAACTGGTGCCACAATGTGGAAGAGGTTAAGAGCCACCTGCGGAAGTTGTCCAGGATATGTACGCTGAAGGAGCTATGAGGTCGTTAGTGGTATGATCTCAAGAGGTAATCTTCTTACATACTGCTGTCAAATCGCTTGGGAGCTTCTGGTATCGAGCGTCCTTCTCGAGGTCATTCAACCACAAGAGTGCTTTGCCCTCCTCTAATCGATCTGTCCAGTCGAACCTGGACGGTTCATCCTCAGCCTTGGAGCTGGCAACTTCAGAATGTCCAAGAAGTGAATTAGCTTGCTGGCCATTGAAACCAAGATCACGAACTCCATCGATCAGCTTGCGCTCACGGCGAATCATCTCAATGAGCGTAAATGGCTCAATTTGGCGCTCAATAAGTTGGACACCGTTCATCCAGAGAAAGTTGATGCCACTGGGAATACCGGCAGCAACGTTTTTCTCCTGCTCTACAGCAAACTCTTTTGTGACTTCATGAGTGGCAATCGATGCTGAGAACTTGGGGAAATCCTGGGTCGATTTGACCAAAGCATCGAGAGGATTTTCACTATTTAGAATGAACGAAGCAGTCTTTAGGCCTAAAGATGCTAGCTCGGAGGTTGAGAGAGGCTTCAAATCAGCAACATCTTCATTTGTGTCAAGATCGACGTCGGCTGTGGCAGGTTTCTGTTTGCCTTCCTGGCTGGCTTCACGATCATCAATAACAATGTAGTCAGTTCTCTTTAGGTCCAGCTTGACACCATAGCCGCTCACAGACAAAGGAGTATTGGGCGCCTCTGCGCTTCGGCGATATCGCAGTCTATATGACATATCTCCCTGCTTGGCAGCTTTGGAGAGCGCAATGTGGAAAGGGCCGAAAGAGGCAGATGTTGGGTCCGCGTAGAGAATGGCATCTTTTCCAAGCCCTAGGACTCGATCAAACGGCAATAAGTTGGCTTGCCTATTCACGGGTTAGGGTCGTGGTGTCCAAAGTAACCGAAACAGCTTACCTTGTGGAGAATTCACCTTCCACGGCTTTATCGAGAGTTTCTGAACAGTATTTCTTGCTATCAATCAAGGCCCATGTCGAGCAATCCTCATTGGTGTCTCCTTTGGATACTGAATCGACAGCTGTACTGTAGTATTGGTAATGTGCTTCTATTCGTGGTGCGGCAGCACGTAGTGAAAGAGCAAGCTTGAAAGTTGAGAGGGCGTCTGGTGTAGTGACGTGCCCGTCTTGCTCAAGGACCTTGATGAAACGGTCGTAGAGCTCTGCATCTGAATTGGCTGATTGAAAGTGACCACCAGCAATCTTGTCAAGTAGAGGGAAGTATGCTGTTGAATTTTCCCCAGCGGCAGTTTCTCTGTTAATGGTCAGAAGCAACATCATAGGTAGCTCACCAGAAATAGAATAAGCTTACAGAAGTTCAAGCAAATATGGAGCACGAGGGAACGCAGCGTTCATTCCCACGTTGACTGACGGTGAAGCCAAAGAAGCTGTAGCGGCCACCAGGGCCATAGCCAGGCATTGAGAAAGGCAAGGCATATTTACTTGCAGTCTACGCGAAGCGCTGTATATAGCAAGTACTGAATATGTGTGGAGGAGCTGGAGCCTCGCTGTGGAGGGGCAAAGGACAGCTCTCCAAAGAAAGCTTGGACAAGATAGCGACGACGTAGAATCAGGCACGCAATGGCGGCACAATTCTGGTCTTGGGCGTCTTCAACAAACCCAAGCACGCTCAAGATGTTTTCTACGTGCGGCAGACTCTCAATCACCAGGCATCAACTCCCGTTGTAAGTCAAAGACAAAGAATGCTTAGGAGTCGAACAGCGTCACTGAGACCCAGGAGCTACCTGATGGCTGGATTGGGTTTAGTACCCGAGCTGATACCGATAAACAAAAAGACAGGAGAAGCTCATCCCTCGACCGTCTTTCCTTACGTGGCAGAAACGATAACCCCTGCATCTTCGGGCACTCGTCAGCCACATTCAGGGAGCATGTCCCCAGTTTTCTTACCCTCTTACACCTGTCCTACTCGATGTAGCCCCTCCATTCGGGGGAACAATGTTGCGTTCCATTACTGTGGCTTTACACCTGCACTCCCCCGGCCGGTGTGATAGCCCACAATTGAGCATCGTGTTCAATTGCCCAAGCCTAAGCCTACCTTGGGAGTTCGCTTCGTTGGCCAGCATTCAACTCAACTAACTTACGTCTCCCTTTCACTCTGACCTCACGTATACTTCGACAAGCCCGCGCTGTGCTGGTCAGCTCGCACCCAAATCTCGCGATCAAGGTACACGCAAGCCGAATAGCTGCATTCTATAATCCGCTTCTGGGCGCCTTGAATTGTTCCACCCCTTAATGCTCGAAGCTGCGGCTTCACCTCCCCGCCAATATGCAGTCCTCCCCGGGAATGTTGACCAAGGTAGATTGCGATGCAATTGCTTTGCTTTGCTTGCTTGTGATTACTGACACTCTCCTTTGCACAGTTCGAGTCCAAGTCCTCGCGAGCTAAAGGCATTGCCTTTCACCCAAAGAGGTTCGTTGTCCAACGTCGCTGAACCGTATCGCAAGCTTTATAGCTGACAAGTTGTATCCAGACCATGGATCCTGGTGTCGCTACACTCTTCTACCATTCAGCTCTGGGATTACCGAATGGGAACCCTAATTGACCGCTTCGAGGAGCACGATGGCCCTGTCCGTGGTGTCGACTTTCACAAGACACAGCCGCTTTTCGTCTCTGGCGGTGACGACTATAAGATCAAAGTCTGGTCTTACCAGACTCGACGATGCCTCTTCACCCTTAACGGCCATCTCGACTACGTCCGAACCGTCTTCTTCCATCACGAGCTTCCCTGGATTCTGTCAGCATCCGATGACCAGACCATCCGGATATGGAACTGGCAGAACCGCTCCTTGAGTAGGTCAAGATTGCTGCCTTGGTCTAATAGCCGATAATGCTGACTTGTCCCTAGTTTGCACCATGACTGGCCACAACCACTATGCCATGTGCGCCCAATTTCACCCCAAGGAAGACCTCGTTGTCTCTGCGTCGCTCGATCAGTCCGTTCGTGTTTGGGACATTTCCGGTCTCCGAAAGAAGCACTCCGCCCCTACCTCGATGTCCTTCGAAGATCAAATGGCGCGTGCCAATCAGAACCAGACCGATATGTTTGGAAACACTGATGCTGTCGTCAAGTTTGTTCTCGAAGGTCACGACCGTGGCGTCAACTGGGTCGCTTTCCATCCCACCATGCCCCTCATTGTTAGCGCTGGCGATGATCGCTTAGTGAAGCTGTGGCGCATGAGCGAGACCAAGGCTTGGGAAGTCGATACGTGCCGTGGACACTTCCAGAATGCATCCGGATGTCTGTTTCACCCTCATCAGGACTTGATCCTATCTGCTGGAGAGGATAAGACCATCCGTGTATGGGACCTGAATAAGCGAACAGCTGTTCAGTCTTTTAAGAGAGAAAATGATCGCTTCTGGGTCATTGCGGCGCATCCTGAGATCAACTTGTTTGCTGCTGGTCACGATAATGGTGTGATGGTATTCAAGTTAGAGCGAGAGCGCCCTGCCTCAGCCGTTCATCAGAACCTACTCTTCTACGTCACCAAGGAGAAGCACGTCAAGTCTTATGACTTCCAGAGGAACATCGAGAGCCCTACGCTCCTGTCGCTCAAGAAGCTTGGTAGCGCCTGGGTAGCACCCCGGACATTGTCCTTCAACCCTGCAGAACGATCTATTCTCGTTACCTCACCTGCTGACGGCGGATCTTATGAGCTGGTTAACCTTCCCAAGGATGGCTCTGGCGCTATCGAGCCTGCTGAGTCCAAGCGTGGTCCTGGAAGCTCTGCCATTTTCGTTGCCCGTAACCGATTTGCCGTTCTCAACACCGCCAATCAGACTATTGATATCAAGGATCTTTCCAACAACACCACCCGATCCTTCAAGCCCCCCACCGGAACTACCGATATCTACTTTGGAGGTACAGGCAATCTTTTAATCATTGCTCCTACTTCCGTCCACCTCTATGACATCCAGCAGAAGAAGAGTACTGCTGAGCTCTCTGTCAATGGTGTCAAGTATGTTGTTTGGTCTAACGATGGTCTTTACGCTGCTCTTCTAAGCAAGCACAACGTCACAATTGTGTCCAAGACCCTCGAGCAGGTCAGTACTCTTCATGAGACCATTCGTATCAAGAGTGCCACCTGGGATGATGCTGGCGTTCTGCTCTACTCCACCCTTAACCATGTAAAGTATACTCTGCTTAATGGTGATAACGGTATCGTCCGAACCCTTGACCAGACTGTGTACCTGGTCAAGGTTAAGGGCCGTAACGTCTACTGCCTCGATAGAGCCGCCAAGCCCCGTATCCTTCAGGTTGATCCCACGGAATACCGGTTCAAGTTGGCCCTTGTCAAACGCAACTACGAGGAAATGCTTCACATCATCCGAAACTCCAGTCTCGTTGGTCAATCGATTATCTCATATCTTCAAAAGAAGGGGTACCCTGAAATTGCTCTCCAATTCGTTCAGGACCCCACCACTCGATTTGACCTAGCTATCGAATGCGGCAACCTAGATGTTGCTGTTGAAATGGCCAAGGAACTTGACAAGCCCAAGTTCTGGACCCGTTTGAGCACAGAAGCATTGGCACACGGTAACCATAAGGTTGTCGAGATGTGCTACCAAAAACTGAAACAATTCGATAAGCTCTCCTTTTTATACCTCGCTACTGGTAATCAATCTAGGCTTGCTCGCATGGCTAAGATTGCCGAGCACCGTGGTGATTTTACCTCGCGGTTCCAAAACGCACTATACCTTGGAGAGGTTGAGGACCGTATCCAAATGTTCAAGGAGATTGATCTGTGTAAGTTTCAAGCCAAGTCGATTTCAAGGAACGCTCAACTAACAAAATTTCAGACCCCCTTGCCTATATGACCGCCAAGTCTCATGGTCTGGAGGAGGAATGCCAGTCCATCCTGGAGGCCACCGGCTTGACCGAAGAGGACCTCACCTTGCCAACACTTGGAGAGCCCTTGTCTATCCGTGAGCCTGTTGTGCATACTTTCGAGTCTTCTTGGCCTACCAAAGCTACCTCGCAGTCCTTCTTTGAGAAGGCTCTGCTTGGCCAGGTTGAAGGTCTTTCCCTGGAGGATGAGCCTGCTGCCGCCAATGCAGGCTTCGAGGACGCTATGGAAGATGACTCAGCCGCCAAGCGTAACGGCGCATTGATCGATGATGACGATGAAGATGCTGCTGGCTGGGATATGGGAGACGATGACATTCCTGAGGCTGATAGTGACTTTGTCAATGTTGAAAGTGTCGATGCTGGCGGTGCTGCTAGCAGCGAGGCAGATATGTGGGCACGAAACTCACCACTGGCCGTTGACCACATTGCTGGCGGATCTTTCGAGACTGCTATGCAACTTCTCAACCGACAGGTCGGAGCTGTCGACTTCGCCCCTCTCAAATCTCGATTCCTGGAAGTCTACTCAGCATCTAAGACTTTCCTTCCCGCTTCTGAAGGCCTGCCGCCTTTGATCAACTATGTCCGCAGAACTCTCGATGAGACAGATCCCCGGAAGGTCCTGCCGATTATCCCCCGAGATCTCGAGCACCTTGCTTCTAACGACCTGCAAGCGGGCTATGACTCAATGAAGGCTAACAAGCTCGAGGCTGGTATCGGCATCTTCAAGGGTATCCTTCACTCTATCCTTGTCAACGCCGTGTCAAGTGAGGATGAGGTTGCTGAGGCGAAGAAGCTTATTACCTCGGCCAGCGAGTATGCTGTCGCCATGAGCATTGAGCTTTCCAGGAGACAGTTGGGTGCTCCTGATGTCGTGGCTAAGGACGCGGAGAAGCTCCAGAGGAGCTTGGAACTGTCAGCGTACTTCACTATCCCTAAGATCGAGGTTCCTCACAGACAGCTTGCTCTGCTCAGTGCAATGCAGCTGGCTATTCGCAACAAGAACTACAATTCTGCTTTGAGCTTTGCTAACCGCATCATCGCCAATGGTGGTGCCACCAAGATTGTAGAAAACGTAAGTGAAATCGAACTTCCAATGCTCGCTCCGGTTACTGACCTAAATGTCACAGGCCAAGAAGACCAAGGCTCAGTGCGAGCGCAATCCCAACGATGCTATTGAAATTGAGTTCGACCAGTTCGCCGAGTTCGATGTGTGCGCAGCCAGCCATACCCCTATCTATAGCGGTACTGCATATGAGGAGTGTGCCTTCGATGGCTCTAAGTATCACACCAAGTACAAGGGCACTGTCTGCAGAGTTTGTGAAGTATGTGAGATTGGCAAGCATGGAAGCGGTTTGAAGTTGTTCGCCTAGACTGGGTAGAGCATGGTTGAGTAAGATTTAATAACGGGAGCGCATAGTCGGAATTGGGAGTTTCGAGTCAACGACGCACAAAAAGGAGCCAGGTAGACGAAGTGGAAAGTCTAGGGCTTTAAAACGGGTGGACTTGGACGCTGGCTGATAGAAGGATGGCAAAGGAGTCATG